TGGGTTTTGTTTGGGATTACACTTCATTCCGAACCGTTCCAAATTGTCGGGTTATGATTTTTATTTTTTTATGGGCGTGTTTGGGTTTTATGATGTGTAAATCGTAGTGTATGGATTGGATGACTAAAGTGGCCAAAATCCAACTCGCACGACCCATGTACACCCCTATTTACCACCAGGAGCGGTGATGACTCGGTATTTGCACATGTTTTCCCCTTTGTTTCTTGATTATTTGAGCTTGAATTATCGTGTCTTTGGCCTATTTTACGCTAGGTTGTGTTCCTTTCTCACATTTCAGGTCCAAGCACATAAAGTGAAGTATAGGCGCAAGTTTCAAGTCAATCAGAGATCAATTGACGATTCGGGAGAAGAAACTCGGGCATGACCTGAAGAAGAATGGATTTCTACCTCACTTTATGGACAAAGAATCATGCAAGCTTGTCATGAAAAGAAAGAGGACGAGACTACGAGCGTCTGGGATCAAACGGTGACTGAATCGGAGGTCAAACGAGCTCAAACGAGATCAACGAAGCTTAGGAGTGCATGCTGGAAATTGTGCACGGCCGTGCACAATTCTGCACGGCCGTGCACAATTCTGCACGGCCGTGCGGGTTTCCCAAGGGGTCTGCACGGCCAAAACCTCAATTTGCACGGCCGTGCAAGTAGGGGGTGCGAGTTTCAGCGGGTATAAAAGCTGTTTTGCGATTTTTGGAGAGGGAGAGCTGGGTTTTGGATCCCAAACACCCAAGGGACGAACCCTAGAGAGAGAGAGAGCGACTTGGGAACATTCTTGGAGCTATTTTGGAGGATTTCTTCGCCATTGAAGCTCGGGAATCAAGCTTGGAGATGGAGATTGAAGATCTAGATCAGATTTCTGCAGTCTCTCTCTTCTCTATGGAGTAACTTCCCTTCACTTAGGTTTTGAGGAACCCTAGTTCCATGTGGTAGGATCTTTCTTGTATGAAGTTTTGGATGCTATATTGTTTGATTATAATCGATTGAGGCATGATTTATTGAGTCAATTGAATCTTGATCAAATTCTCTTGATTTCTGCTTTAACCTATGATAGATAGAATCTGATTAGGTTAAGAGAGCTTCCTTGATTGATAGTGGTGAATTGGTTGTGCGAGAGTCAATCAATTCACTGCTTTGTACTGGAATTCATTCCAGTAGTGGAGATCTGTGTGAATCGCCTTAGCAGTCTATCCCGGTGAAGGCTAGTCGCCTGCCGGGTATTCTGTCTGAGAGGGCTTGGTCAGCTTAAGAGATTCCAAGCTAATTTAGGATCTTCCGCAGTTTAATCAACAGTAGATCAACCAAAGGTAATTGCAACTTGGACCTAATTGAGGAGCTAGGGGGAATCATACCTAAGTGAGTTCCCAACTTGTAATTAGTAGAGTAGTCAGTAGAGTAGTTTATCAATCAATTCTTAATCTAGTCTGCTAGATAATGAACTGAAGCTGAGTAATAATAACTCTAGAGACCCGTGGATTCGATATTTATTACGTGTTTCCATGCAAATTGCCTGCTCAGTATGCTTTGAATTGACAGTCTCTATAGTAATGTGCAACCTAGGGAGGTAGTGTAGCACTATGGAGGATGTTGAAGTATAAGATTTTTCCTATCTAGCTCTCTGCTGTGCCAGTTGATTTTGTGAATTAGTGGAGCTAAGACCGTTGAATACATGTGGTAATGTGGACTCTGTTTGAATTGTGTTATGACTCGTGTATCGAACAGGGTGCTCATGTGAGAAATGAAAAGCAGTTGGTCCTCCATGTCGAAATCATTGAAATCTTAAATATGGGGTAAGCCCAACGTGTGTGGCACCGTTCATTGCACAAAATCGGGTTTTGGAAGAGATTTTAGTAATCCTTAGTGGGGTACTCCTACAAGGTGAAGCTAAGCTGTCTCTAATACAAGTAAAATTTTCACCCGTTGAACGGTTTGCCTACTTGAGGATGTGTTTTTAAGGGCACGAATAGAGCTTCCGAACCCCCTTAATTTCATTGACCCTCCACACGAGTTGAGGAAAAGGAGTTAAAAGAAGTACCCTGGCGAGCGCCAGGTGTACAGAAATTGCTCTTGCTCGACTAATAAGGGTCGACCGTGCAAAGGACTGCAGTTGGAACCCCTGCTAAGTGAAAGAAAAAAAAAACAAGGAAAATGTGAATGAAAGTGCAAAAAGGGGTTCCAACGGTGAAATGAAGTGAAAGAGCACCCTGGTACAACGAGTCCTTGGTTGTGAATGGTGTGAGTCCCTTTATCCATGAACTGACTGTCTTACTTCTACTTTTTCTCATGATCCTGGCTTGAGTCTAGTACTCGCATTGAGAGAGATAGAGAACGTCTTAGAAGACCAGTTGACCTCGTAAGCTGCTATATGATCTAGGAAATCCTCTACCGACGATCGGGGTTGTATGTTGCTATAGAGCTCTGGAGAGCTGCATTGGTTTGAGTTAGGTTTGCTTGGGGACAAGCAAACAGTTAAGTGTGGGGGGATTTGATGACTCGGTATTTGCACATGTTTTCCCCTTTGTTTCTTGATTGTTTGAGCTTGAATTATCGTGTCTTTGGCCTATTTTACGCTAGGTTGTGTTCCTTTCTCACATTTCAGGTCCAAGCACATAAAGTGAAGTATAGGCGCAAGTTTCAAGTCAATCAGAGATCAATTGACGATTCGGGAGAAGAAACTCGGGCATGACCTGAAGAAGAATGGATTTCTACCTCACTTTATGGACAAAGAATCATGCAAGCTTGTCATGAAAAGAAAGAGGACGAGACTACGAGCGTCTGGGATCAAACGGTGACTGAATCGGAGGTCAAACGAGCTCAAACGAGATCAACGAAGCTTAGGAGTGCATGCTGGAAATTGTGCACGGCCGTGCACAATTCTGCACGGCCGTGCGGGTTTCCCAAGGGGTCTGCACGGCCAAAACCTCAATTTGCACGGCCGTGCAAGTAGGGGGTGCGAGTTTCAGCGGGTATAAAAGCTGTTTTGCGATTTTTGGAGAGGGAGAGCTGGGTTTTAGATCCCAAACACCCAAGGGACGAACCCTAGAGAGAGAGAGAGCGACTTGGGAACATTCTTGGAGCTATTTTGGAGGATTTCTTCGCCATTGAAGCTCGGGAATCAAGCTTGGAGATGGAGATTGAAGATCTAGATCAGATTTCTGCAGTCTCTCTCTTCTCTATGGAGTAACTTCCCTTCACTTAGGTTTTGAGGAACCCTAGTTCCATGTGGTAGGATCTTTCTTGTATGAAGTTTTGGATGCTATATTGTTTGATTATAATCGATTGAGGCATGATTTATTGAGTCAATTGAATCTTGATCAAATTCTCTTGATTTCTGCTTTAACCTATGATAGATAGAATCTGATTAGGTTAAGAGAGCTTCCTTGATTGATAGTGGTGAATTGGTTGTGCGAGAGTCAATCAATTCACTGCTTTGTACTGGAATTCATTCCAGTAGTGGAGATCTGTGTGAATCGCCTTAGCAGTCTATCCCGGTGAAGGCTAGTCGCCTGCCGGGTATTCTGTCTGAGAGGGCTTGGTCAGCTTAAGAGATTCCAAGCTAATTTAGGATCTTCCGCAGTTTAATCAACAGTAGATCAACCAAAGGTAATTGCAACTTGGACCTAATTGAGGAGCTAGGGGGAATCATACCTAAGTGAGTTCCCAACTTGTAATTAGTAGAGTAGTCAGTAGAGTAGTTTATCAATCAATTCTTAATCTAGTCTGCTAGATAATGAACTGAAGCTGAGTAATAATAACTCTAGAGACCCGTGGATTCGATATTTATGACTTGTGCCACTATACTGCAGTCTCTTTCATTGGTTACACTTGGCCATTGTTAGGTGTTGTGTTTTAGCGTGTCAAGCGGACCTACGTGTTGCTTATGAGTGTTGTCCGACACCCTTTCAACCGAAAATTTGGTGAAAATCCTATAGTTTTTTTGTACAAAAAAAATTTAATGCGAGATTTTCTGCACCACTTTAATAATTGTAACCTATACTCATTTATTAGTCCACATCAATAATTCTGGCTCACTGTCTACCAGACTACCACTACGGAAAGAGAGCATGAATACCATTATTTTTTGTTTGAAAGCAACGCATTATTATTTTGGAAGGTGGGAGAGCGGTTGGTATGATCTTGCAATTAACGAGGTCATTTTAGTCTAGTCTGCTATTGTTAAACAAACAAAACTGCAGAGGTGGGAGTCTACCAGGACACCTGGTAGAATTGGTGGTAAATTCGTCAACAAAAAAAAACCCGGCTAAATTGCAAGTTTGGTCACTTGAATTACTACAAAATTTCACGTTTGGTCACTCGAATTCGTTTATTCCATTCGTAGTCACTTAAATTAGTTGAACAATCCAAGTTCGGTCACTCTCCGTTAACCTCCGTCAGACTCCGTTAGTGCCGTCAGTTAACTGCTGACCTGGCTAACAGAGATGTCTAGTCACCCAATTTTAACCCAAAAAAAAGCAAAAATTGACCCGCCACGTCAGAAAAACATGCCACCTCATATAAACACAACACAACCCACCCAACCTAAAAAAACCATTAACCCACCCAGAAATCGAACCCGTGACCCATCCACCCTTCTTCTTCTTCCTCTATACCTTGCTTCCGCCGCCGCCGGGGAGATTTCCCCTCGATCTCCCTGCTGCAGCCCCCGCCGCTGGATCCAATAACCTCCAAACCGTTGCCGCCAAGAGGAAAGCAGCTGCCTGCACAAATCATTGGCACGACTCCTCGAGGTTCCCTACACGACCTCCGATTTCATCGATTGAGGCAACCACATGACTCCCACACTATCCCCCAAGCGGGACATCTCCGGGCGGTGGCGCGAGCGCCACGAAATCGACGATTGGGACGACCTCCTCGACCCAATCGACCCGGCTTCCCGGCGGATGGATGGATTGATGGTCTTTCCGCTGCTAATTGAAGACTAGAGTTCTATCGAGCGAGCCAAGCCAGTAGGAGCATCCCTTCCACTACTTCGAATACTGCTTCTTTAACCTGCAAAAAAATGAGTGACTACGCTTCAATTCAAGGCCATAGACGAAATATAGAGCGAGGGAACAAGGCAAGGGAAGTGATGAAGGTACCGATTTGTGATCGTTGCAGATTTGCTTGGCCTTGTCCACGACTCGGGCGACTATCTTCTTCAAATCGGAATCCACATACGGCAGCACTTCGGCGGCGCCGGGGCCGGCGAGACCCACGACGGAGGTGGGGGTGGACGAGGACGAGGTTGAAAAGGGAGGCGTCGGCCGGGAGGGGAGTGAAGAAATGATCCAGAGTCCACTGCAGACGTAGACGCTGTGCTCGCTGTCGTCGATCCCCACCACCATCACTTGCTTCTCCACCATCGTTCTTCGATTAGCTAGCTGCATGTTGGACTTCTTTGTTGTTGTTGTTGTTGTTGCTCTGCTCCTCTCCGTTCAATGTTAACTTCTTTTTTATATAGCTAAGGAGACGAAACCAATAGAGGAAGCAGACTAATCAATCGAGGAGGCCGTCCCAATCGTCGATTCCGTGGAGCTCGCGCCACCGCCCAGAAATGTCCCGCTTGGGGGACTGTGTGGGAGTCATGTGGTCGCCCCAATCGATGAAATCGGAGCCGTGTAGGGAACCTCGAGGAGTCGTGCCAGTGATTTGTGCGGGCGGATGCTGTTCCTCTTGGCGGCCGACGGTTTGAGGGTTATTGGATCCGGCGGCGGGGGCTGCAGCAGGGAGATCGAGGGGATATCCCCCGGCGGTGGCGGAAGCAGGAAGAAGAAGAAGAAGGGTGGATGGGTCGCAGGTTTGATTTCTGGGTGGGTTAATGGTTTTTTTTTTAGGTTGGGTGGGTTGGGTTGTGTTTATATGAGGTGGCATGTTTTTCTGACGTGGCGGGTCAATTTTTTTTTTCTTGGGTTAAAATTGGGGGACTAGGCATTTCTGTTAGCCACATCAGCAGTTAACTGACGGCACTAACGGAGTCCGACGGAGGTTAACGGAGAGTGACCAAACTTGGATTGTTCAACTAATTTAAGTGACTACGAATGGAATAAACGAATTTGAGTGACCAAACGTGAAGTTTTGTAGCAATTCGAGTGACCAAACTTGCAATTTAGCAAAAAAAAAACCCTATTAACAGGCGTCAAACCCAGACGTTCGTGCAGTCATGCTCAGCCTAATTACAATGGAGTCCTTCACCAACCTCCACAAGCAAAGCAAATAAAATCACTTGTTTTCCGTTTAGATATTAGAACTTAAGGGTTGTTTGCTTTTGGTGATTGTTTGACGGGGATAGTTACAAATTACAATGCACGTATTGTCTACAATGCACGTATTGTCTACAATGCACGTATTGTCAACAATGCGTTGTTTTTTTGAATTTTCTACACAAACAATACATGCATTGTTTGCTTGATGTGACACAAACTATCACTCAAAATGAGTGATAGTTAAATCTCAAGTTTTTTGTGGGAATCGGGATTGTTGAGATTGTTGGGTTATTTTTTCTTCCAACTATGTCCCTAACTTTTTATGTGTGTTACTTTTTAATATTAAAAACAATGGATAAAAGTGACATTTTACCCAAAAAGTAATATAACTTGTTTAAATACTACAATAACTATTACAGAAACCAAACGATGTAAACTACAATACACCAATTTTCTTATATACATGCATATTATTATACATGCATTGATGACAATGCATCAATTTAACTATCACCAAAACCAAACGAAACCTTAGCTATGGAACTTGGGCTCGAAAACATACTAACATGTTAGGTTGTTAACCCCACAACTTTTCACTTGGAAATAGGAGTAATTTATTAGTTTATTATTTGTTTCTATTCATATCTACATAATAAATAAAAGCCAAATGAGAAAACTTGAAGCCCCATTTCAAATTTCCTGCATCCAGAGTGAAAGTAGGAAGGACATTTTGGTCTTCACAATTACTATATTTTATTCATTAAAAAGAAACTTACTAGGATTTGAACCATGACCATTTAAAGAAAAACAAAGATCATAACCAATCACACTAAGTACATTTGTTATATCTTTTTAAATTAAAAACATATAATTGCAGAGAGGAAAAAACCCTTCCCCAATTTCAAATTCCCTGCTCTAGGAGCGTTTGTAGAAACGGTAGAATAGGGAGTGTCAATTTTTTTCTTTTTCCTCTGTGGAACGGGCCAACTTACCGTACACATGCGGATTTAAACGGGTCCATGAGTGTCAATTTTTTTTCTTTAAGTCCTTTTATTTCTCCGTGGTGGTAAAATATATGTGAAAAGACAAAAACAATACTCATTTTTATTGCTAAAAAAAAATTAACAATAAATTAATGCATGGATACTAACGGGCTAACCGCTAATCATAAAATAAAAGAGTTGAATGAGCCTTACCTACACGGGATTTGCCCATCAAGTAAAACAAATGAACATCATGGGTTTGTCATTCTAAAACAAGCTATTTTCTCTAGCATAATATATATTATGCTATTATTTTATATCTTAGTGGCTAAAATATAATGTATTTTAAAGTTATTCAATGGTTCAACCTCGACCAACCCAATTAGTCCAATTTTTATCATTTCAAATATATATTGTGTAATTATTTGATATCAAAATGATTAATTTATAGTGTATTTTATAGGGAATCGTTTGGTATTTGTTAGTAAAAAACTAAACAGAAAGATCCATTTGGTTGTTTTTAACATTAAAACGATCCTAAGCATTTTCAGTTTCATTTCGAAATTCTATAGTTTTATTCCCGAATCAGTGATGTGCAAATGGCGAATTGCAGTCATCTCATTTCTTTCATTATTTTTTATTTTAAAATAGAAAGTTTAAAAGTAAGAATAATTCGAGTTTGGCATGGGTCGGTCAAACAGGCTGAATTTCAAGTTTTGCCCCGTTTTGATCAAGTCTAATTTATAATCACATGGTTCCCTGATACCCGATAAAAATCTCAATCCAAACCAGTTTGACAGGTGAGTCCGTGTTTACCACCATTTTCTAGGGATACAGGAACGGTGGTTCCTATCCCAAATCGTGTTGTTCATTCTTGATTTCTTTAGATTTTATCATGGCTTGGTAAAAAACCAGAAAACACAATGATGACAAGATGAAAGTTTTATAAAGCAAATTAATCGGCCAACGGGCCGAGTAAAAGCTAGCAACGATTGTGAGATGCTCATTTACCGAAAACCGGCGGGATATGCGATTTTTTATTCGATTTTATGGAATTCGGTTTCTATAAAACTTACTCCACCTCATCGTATTACCAGAAACAATATAGTTTCACAAGGTAACTGGTACTTGATTTTGGTTCATAAGGCTGGTTTTTATTTCGTTGCATCATTCATGTCTCTTTCGTACTAAAATTCACTATTTTATGACGTGTTTCCCAAAAAAAAAAAAATATACAATAATAAACTATACACCCCATTACATTATCAAATTTCATACCTCACCTTCCTCCGGCCAAATGGTCCGGGCCCACGCTAGTTTAAGATAATTGGTGGAGTCATCATTTTGTGTCGATAATTGATAGTAGTCAGGTAGATTATTTGCTATCAAATTTAATTCTTTCACTGTGCCTATAATTTGTACACATTAATGTTCTAATATTTCATTAACATTGTGATGCGTGATAGCGGAATCTCACATATCGTGAAATTCGAACTCTTCTATGAAACTAATGAAACGCGTTAAAAGATAGCTAAATTACTCTAATTTACTTTACTCTTATTCATGGCTCTATGAAAACCAAATAACAACGTACATATTTATAGGACTCTCTCATACCCTTTCCCTCTCAAACAAGGTAAACTAATCCTAACCCAATTAGTAAATAATAACTTCCTCAACAAGACACAATAAACTAATACGAATATTCCTAAATAACCATAACAATATGACAATTAACTAATAATTATTCTCTAATTACTAAGCCCATATCGGATAAGAGGCCCAAGGATGCGTGCATGCATCACATTGTCTACCTAATGAATGGTAATTACAAGTGACAATTTTAATCAATTCACCAGATTGTCTAATCCATTCACCAATAAATTCACAAGGAAACATGGGGTTACAGGGAGGAGGAAGATCGGGCCGCAATGCGGTGCTCAAATGTAATACATAAACAATCATCTCGAAGCAAAGCCATTAGTTCGGGTGGTGGATTAGCAAGCTCATGCATACAGTAGGGATAAACGAGACTGTGCTTCGAGAGCCAGTCTGCGACTCTATTTCTTTCTCGGTAAACATGATTGATGCTAACCAACCAATCCCGACCTAGTTTTCTGCGAATACTAGAGAGAAGAGTTGCGTAAGGGTGAAAGGGGTCAACTCTGTTCTGAATAAGTTGCAAGGCCAACTGCGAATCAGTTTCTACCTTTACCACTCAGAACCAAGCCTCCATGCCAGATCCAAACCATAATTAATTCCCCAAATCTCAGCAAGAGCAGTAGTAGCCGATCCTAGATTAGCCATGAACCCGCCAAGCCACCTGCTGTCGAGTCTCTAACCGCTCCACCAGCTCTGGCCGGCCCAGGGTTGCTGTTCGAAGCTCCATAGACATTATAAGTCACCCAGTCGCTTGAGGGAAGAGACCACCTGACATTTGCCCACTATCATTCATATGGGCGCACTCGGTTGTCAGGAAGCAGCGGGGGGGGGGGGGGGGGGGGGGGCATTCCAGGTGTCGTGCCAGATCTTGGACTTCATCATGATGGAATGTTCCAAGGTCGGGGTAGAGAGAGCGAAATTCGTTCCTCGTAGAGCAGCCGTGCATCGATTTTCCAAAGGAGTCAAGTCGCCATACTGAAGAAGTAGGCCAACCAATATTCGCGGCTGTCGTCTCTCTCTCCAAGAAGTTCATGCGGGAGCCACTCTTCCTGCGTAGTGCTGCAGAAGCTCTCTTGCTATTGAGGAGGGATATGGTGAGACCAGAAAAAGATGGTCGGGGGGCAGTCCCTAAGGATGTGAAGAATCGATTTCGGTTGTCCCGTACATCTATCGCAGAAAGGGGTGACCGCGATCTTTTTGTTATGTCGAAGGACATTGGTAACTAACTTTCCTAAGACGGTCTGCCACATGAAGGTTCTGATTCGCTCCGGCACCGGGAGTCGCCAAATGATTTTCAAATCTTTTCATCTGGGTCCGCCTACCGTTGAGCGAGCAGGGTGAAAGCCGACTTGGTGGAGAATCGACCATCTACAGTATCCGACTAGAACAGTGGATCCTCCTCCTGAGAGAGCTTGTCGACCTCAATGCTCAAGATCTTCTGGTGTATCTCGCTCGGAAGAAGGCTGCTGAAGAGCTTCGTGCGCCAACTCCCATCTTCCAGAACAAAATCCACAATTGGCGCCTCCTCCAGCTAGAGTGGAATCTTGACGGTCGCCAAAGACTTCAGAGGAACCTGCAAAACCCAAGGATCAAGCCATCATGGGTTTGATTGCCATCCCTACGCTCACACGTCTTTTTTTTTTTTTTTCTGACGACCTTCTTCTTTTTGCTGAGGTAGAGACCGGTCAGATGTCTCTCCCATTTTTAATATTCCAAGCGCACCCTTTTTTAGGAGGTGGGCAGCTTTAGAAAAGCTGAACCAGGTGAAGGAACTTCCCTGAATTGGCCGGAGAAGACTAATACCTTGTCTTTGTCTCACATATTTCGCTTGCATCACTTGAACCCACAAAATCTCTTTTTCCTGGAAGAGGCGCCATCCACTTTTTACCAACATGGCAAGGTTAGCTTGTCTCGTTGGTTGGATACCCACGCCTCCTTAACACTTCGGAGCTGTCATATTTTCCCAGGCCATAAGATGCATTCTGCTCTTTTCCAGCTCATCACCCCAGATGAAGTCTCTATTAAGCTTATCGATCGTTTTGCAGACATTGTTGGGGATCATCTCCGTCAGCATGTTGTAAACTGGTAAAGAAGCAACGACCGACCTAGTTAGGGTGAGTCTCGCCACAAAATAATGGTGCTTGGCCTTCTAGGGTGCCATTTTCTTCTGGATGCAGAGGATGAGTGATTGGTATCTCTCCCTGGACACCTGTTCCTAGATAGCCTGAACTCCAAGGTATCTTCCCAGAGCTGCTTTAAGAGGGATCCCTGCTAGTTGGCTCAGCCGCGAAGCCCTTCGCCGATTAATGTTAGGGGAGACATACATAATGGACTTGGCGTAGTTGACCCTCTGCCCTGAGCTAAAACATAAATCTTCCAGGCATTGCTTGATTACGTGGATCTGGCAGAGACATCTGACCGGTCTCTGCCTCAGCAAAAAGAAGAAGGTCGTCAGAAAAAAAAAGAAGACGTGTGAGCGTAGGGATGGCAATCAAACCCATGGCCGCGGATATCCGACCGCCCCCGACCCAGTCAACGCGGGGAATCGCCGCTTTAACCAGGTATGGGGCGGGTATGGGTAAAACCCGCAAAAAGTTTGATGGGTGTGGGACGGGTTGGGTTTTATCTTCCCCCGCCCCATACCCATACCCGCCCCACCAAGAGAATTTCTTCATATATAAAAAAAATATGTTCATCAAATTATAATCTATCAATGATGACGAGGATAACTTGAGAAAAATAAATAGTAGAAATGCAATTGAGTGACCATCTTAATCAAAACCTAATTCATTTCTCTCAATTCTAATTTCACTCTTTCACTTTCCCCCTTGTCAACAAGATTATGTTAGTTAATTATTACTTAGTAGATGTATCAGAGTTAGAACATAATAATTTGAAAATATTATACTCTATATTATGTATTAATGGATATTTTAGGATCATATTCTTTGAACCGTATTAAAAAAATGAATGTGTTTTGTTGACTTCATGATATAATATGTTCGTTTAGAGTTATAATTAAAACATTTCTTGTAAGTTTTAGGTATAATAATGTTGGATGTACGGGTATGACTGTATGAGTATTACCCATGGGTACCCGAAACCCACGAGTATGGGGATGGGTTTGCAAAACATTTCCCCGCATGGGTATGTGGCGAGTATTGGTTTGGGTATTTGAAGATGGGGATGAGGATGGTTTAGGGAAACCCGCCCCATTGCCATCCCTATGTGAGCGCCATGCCATTTGCGGTGAAGAGGGGTAGGTTCCCTAGCTATGAATCACAATCCTTAACCTAACGGTTAAGAGAGCTAGTTCTCCTAGCTTATATTTGTTGATTTTCCTTCATTGATCGGCTAAGGGAGTTTTGTCCCTAGCTAGTTGCACCCACCTCACGGTGTATGAACACATCCTTCACACTAGAGCTTTGTTTGTCGCTTCTTAGCATGAGACTAGAGGGAGCAATACCCGGGTGAAGTCCTCTCGAGGAGAATTCTCCTCCATTTACTTCCTTTGCTTGTTTAGTTTGTAGTTTTCTTTGTTTTAAACCCAAAACTATTTTGCTAGATAACAACTTAAGCGATTAAAGTAGGGGTACATGGACCGGCTCGGGTTTGACAATTAAATACTTGCCTATACTGCACCCGACTAGAGTTTAAAAACTTGGGCTCTAGTCGGGATATAATTCGCGGTGTAGTTTTGAGCGAGTCAGGCCTCATGGTTTTGTGTCCCTTAGCAAACAATGGATTTATGCCAAGTCCTTCATGCTCGGGATTTGGGTGCCAAATCCATCACCCAAATCCCACAAGCAAACAATACCTACAAGTAGGTGTGTCAGTCAGTCGGTTTGGTTTAATCGAAAACCAATTTCTCGTTTATCGGTTAAACCAAGCCACCACTTTTTGCTGTCGACCACCGACCGATCGATTATCGATTTTGGTTCGGTTAACCGCATACTTGAAAAACACTCCCTTCTCTCCAAAAAATTCATTAAAAATTATTATAAAAAAATGAAAATCCCCCCACCACTGAATCCTTATCTCCTTCCTCCTTCTCTCTCCTTTCCATTAGACCACCACTCCTTCCTTCTTCCATTTCAGATTTGGACACCACGGCCACAGAGGAGAAGCAGAGGCACTGCAGTGGTGAGTGGAGGCAGACATCGGGGTAGAGTGGTTGGCGATTCGAGGAGGAGAAGCAGGGGGTCGCGCACGCGAATGGCGGAGCGGAGGGTCGTGGTCGTTGCCGGGGTCGGAGGGTGGAGATGCAGAGGTCGATGGGGGCGAGAGGCGGAACGGAGGGCAGGGGTAGTCGCCGGACGCGGAGGGTGGAGGCGGGAGGGGAGACATGGATGGTGGAGGAGGGATAACATTTCGTTTTTGGCGGAGGGGGTTGTTGGGGAATGGTTCTGGGAATTGGTCCATTACAGGGAGTGGTTGTGATGAATTTTGCCGTTCTGATTTGGGGGTTTCCCTTTCTTTGAAGGGTTTTCTTTTTCCTTATTTCGGGTGGGGAATATATTGTGTCTGAACTTGATTTGGGAGGAGGGACAGGGGAAAGAGATGGTTTTTTGGATTAACGATGAGGACGACGCGAGATGATGTTGTTGCTACTTGCTGGGTTGGTGGCCTGCTCCGCGACGGGAAGGAGGCGTACGGGACGGCGCGGCGTGACGCTGACCGCGATGGGAAGGAGGCGGTGGGTGAGGTGCATGGGGAGGCGAGGAGGCAGAGGCGAGGTGGACGGTGACGCGACAGCGGAGGCGAGGTGGACGAAGGCAGGGAGAGTTTTGTTCGAGTTTGCAATTTAGGGTTCGAGGAGGAGAATGGAGGTGGAGATGATGGATAGAATTTTGAGAGAAGGTTAAGTGGATCTCGATTGGGGCCGGTTAGCCGGATAATAGCGGTTAATCACCATCGGTTACTCGGTCAACCGACCCCTTCCTTTTCCCATCTGACCATCGACCGCCAAGGTAACCGGTCGGTTTTCGATTAGCTGGTAACCAACCAGTTTTCGATTATAACCGACGGTTACCTGCTAACCAAAAACCGAAATGCCAGCCCAACCTACAAGTTCGGAATTGAGATGAGACATTAATGACACGCTAAAGGACGACGTGTGGTTAAGTGATGCAACAAGTTTGTATACTTTACTTTGTCTAATTAAAGTGTTCTTGATTGTAAATATTTATTTTAGATATTTATAAAATTCATTAGACTAATAAATAGACTAAAATATATTCAATTTGATACGATCCGATTTAAATATTTGATTTGCAGATGCAGTCCAGTATAGATCAAATCATTACACAACACTATATATGTCAAATGTGTGCTGAAGTAGAGAGTCTTGAGAAGAGGATATCCATAACCACTTGCTCTGCTTACCAACTACCTTCACTACTTTTAGTCTGGGATCTGGTGGCAGCCCGCCCACCATAGGAATAGTACACACCCACCAACCCCACCAAACACCGTCAAATTACATCAGCAGCAGGAAAGCAAAAAAGAAAAGTGCTTACGCACAAAATCACCGGATTTAATCATCGGAAAAGGAAAATTAACGGATTTTCTGCCGAAAAATAGAAAAAACACGGGGAAAAAAGAAGGCCATAACTGTCAATTCACAATCTCCACCTCGTCCATTTTAAGCCCCTCTCGGTTTCCACTTCCATTTCTTCCTCACCCTGTTTCTTCCTCTCTCTCCACTCTGTTTTCCCCCCCTTCTTTCTCTCTCTGAATCTCACCAGAAGAAGAGAAAACAAAGAAAGAACATGGATCCAGTGACAGTATGGGGAAACACTCCGTTGGACCAGGTGGACCCTGAGATCCACGACCTCATCGAGAAGGAGAAGCGTCGCCAATGCCGCGGGATCGAGCTCATCGCGTCCGAGAACTTCACCTCCTTCGCCGTCATCGAGGCCCTCGGCAGCGCCCTCACCAACAAGTACTCCGAGGGAATCCCCGGCAACCGCTACTACGGCGGAAACGAGTACATCGACCAGATCGAGAACCTCTGCCGATCCCGCGCCTTGGAGGCCTTCCACTGCGATCCGGCCAAGTGGGGTGTCAATGTGCAGCCTTACTCCGGCTCCCCTGCCAATTTTGCCGCCTACACCGCCGTCCTCCAGCCCCATGACCGCATCATGGGTCTCGATTTGCCATCGGGTGGCCATCTCACTCATGGGTATTACACCTCCGGCGGTAAGAAGATCTCCGCCACTTCCATTTACTTTGAGAGCTTGCCCTACAAGGTGAATTCCGAGACGGGATTCATCGACTACGATAAGCTGGAGGAGAAGGCGCTGGATTTCAGGCCCAAGTTGATCATCTGCGGTGGCAGTGCGTACCCTAGGGACTGGGAGTATAAGAGGTTCAGGGAGGTTGCTGATAAGTGTGGCGCTCTTTTGCTCTGCGATATGGCTCACATTAGTGGCCTTGTTGCTGCTCAGGTATAATTGCCTCTTCTTCTGATTAGCCTTTTGTCTTTCCTTTCCGTTAATTGGATCTGCGATTTGGGATTGGATTGTTGCTTATCGGGGGCATGCTTGCTAGATCTCAATTGTGCTCTCATTGCACCAGTGGATCTGTTATGCACTTGTATGTTTGTTTGTTCTTTCATTCTGGATTTTGGGATGTGGGCTCTAGGTCTATGATAGCTTGAATTCTGTAGTTAAAATTGTGGTGGCTGAAGTGTTTGTCTGGGATAGTAGTATTGTTGCTTTTGTGTTATATGTCATAATAGTTTGTCCAGATGTGTATGTTGTTTCTTTTCCATGTCATTCCATTTCAACTATTCAATTATGGATGTTTAAAAATCGAACTGAGAGATCTTGTTCATGGTAGGTGGTTTGTAGATGTGTCTTATAATGTTGCTTGTTTTCATGAAGTCAAGATCTATGGTGGGAGTAAACTAATAAGAGATCTGTTCTTCTCTTTGAGTGCTGTACAGGAAGCTAACAACCCATTCGAGTACTGTGACATTGTGACGACCACAACCCACAAGAGTTTGAGGGGACCTAGAGCTGGTATGATCTTCTACCGCAAGGGACCTAAGCCAGCAAAGAAGGGACAGCCAGAAGGCGCGACCTACGATTTTGAGGACAAGATCAACTTCTCTGTGTTCCCTTCTCTCCAGGGAGGTCCTCACAACCACCAGATCGGTGCACTTGCTGTTGCATTGAAGCAGGCCAACACCCCTGCATTCAAGGCCTATGCCAAACAAGTGAAGGCCAATGCAGTTGCTGTTGGTAACTATTTGATGAAGAAAGGGTACAAGATGGTCACTGGTGGAACTGAGAATCACCTTGTTCTGTGGGATCTCAGACCTCTTGGGTTGACTGGTAAGCAGAAGGAACCCAATCATGATTAGTGTCTCCTTTATAACTTTTCCATTGTTTAAGGGACACGGTTGTGTGATCAAATTTTGATCGGTGATTGTTTCGTCACTTGCAGGCAACAAGGTGGAGAAGCTTTGTGATCTCTGCAACATCACCGTGAACAAGAATGCAGTGTTCGGTGACAGCAGTGCTTTGGCCCCAGGAGGCGTGAGAATTGGTAAGAAGAAGCATCACAAACCAAATTAACTTTGACTGAATCGGTAGCGGGTGCAATTTTTTTCTTACCGGCTTTTGTTGGTTGGTTGTTTGGTGGTAGGTGCACCGGCCATGACTTCAAGAGGGTTGCTGGAGAAGGACTTTGAGCAGATTGGTGAGTTCCTCCACCGTGCAGTTACCTTGACACTGAGCATTCAGAAGGAATACGGGAAGCTGTTGAAGGACTTCAACAAGGGTTTGGTGGACAACAAGGAGATTGAGGCCCTGAAGGCTGATGTTGAGAAATTTGCAGGTTCCTTTGACATGCCAGGTTTCCTCATGTCCGAGATGAAGTACAAGGAGTAACTAGGGTTTGGTTATACTTCATCCAATTTATATTCCTGAAGTAGCAGCGTGAATTTTTACCCGATTATGAATTTATGATTGTCTCCCCACCAAAGAAAGGAAAAGAAGGGGTTTTTTCTGTCTTTTGTTGGCTTCATAGTTTGTTAGGTTGTCCATTTCACATTATTTTCCCCTGTTTGTCGGATGTTCTCCTGTTTGATGCATCTGTATCCTCATTGCTCTGTGCTTTATAACCTAGATTGTTGGCAAAATCAATAAATCAAGCAGTCGAATTACAGATTTCACATAACTTTGATCTTTCTTGGCTATAGCCACTGGAATTACAGTTGTTAAACCGGGGTTGGACTGACCGGTTTAGCTTCAGCTGGTCTTGGTCGAACGATTGCCTTTTGCAGTTTGATCGAACGATTGAGCTTGCGAATCCCTTCCTCTGCTTTCCTCTCCAAGCGCTTCCACTCTCTGCATTTCACTGCAAATCCGAGTCTTTTTGAGAACACCGAGCTCGATGAGTTGGCTTACTTTAGGCACTCCACTATTCAAGTTGAGCCCATGCTTTTTGGCTCTTAGAAGCACTCTCACGTTTCAGACAGACAAATTATCTCTTTACTCTAGTTTTAAGGTTCACAACTTCAAACTTGTCTTACAGTCAGAGTTGATCAGTTTTCCAGTAACTTCACTCATAAATCAAGACATTCTTCTGTGTTTTCAACACAAATCCAGATATTCACAAGAATAGAAAGCAATTAACAACATCCAGGTACGAAATACAACCTTCTCACCGAGCTCAGCTTGATTTTTTTTCCTCAGCCAACCTTTCCAACTCTTCCTCTAGCCTTTTGACATCACGTAATATGTTTGATGCAGCAACCTTTTCCTCCCTTAGACCATGCCAGCGTAGCTGAATGTGCTGCAGATCATTTTCCATGTACCTTAGCTCATCCCTTAACTTTTCCAGTTCACTCTGCAGAGAATCCCTAGTTACCAAGAGAAGATGATCAAGATAGCAAAAGACCTTGCCGACGATTGCCCAGCTCCATGCTCGATCTCTTCACACCATTTCTCCTATCTCTTTGTTAAGGTGCTCGCTCATTTCACAATCCTCTTTCGTTTCTGTATGTGCTCTCTGTTGAACGATTCCTTTGCACTATCGTTTCCCTAAGTAGACTGAACAGAACCTATCCGACCAATTATTGAAGGGTAGAAACTTCGCTTGAAATTGGTTCAATTCATGCTCTTTTGGGCTTCCCATTGTTGGCGCTCCAGTGATTCTTTATGTCCTTTGCCACCTGCTTATAATCTGGTGGAATTGCTTTCTCATGTTTTCTACTGCAGCTGATGTGAAAATGAGGTACCCTCCAATCAAATTTAGAGGTCGAATTTCTGACAGTAGAACCTCAATGGAGGTGAAAAAGGGGCAAGGGAGCTTCTAAGGAGCCTTGAAGCTAAGTGGTCAAGTTGCTGTTGGGTTTTTATAGAGTGGAAGCCAACATTCAGAAAAGGCATGTTCTTATCTGATGTTATCTTGTGTATCTTTCAGATGCTGTCAATAGTTTTGTCAAGACTGGGAAAGTCTGTCTCTTTTTCATAACAACTAACTAAGCAACATATTGTCTGAACCATGCTACTACAGGTATTCTTCCTAGAAAGGTTGCTGTTATGCAGTTGTGTGCAGATACTGGTCAATGCTACGTGATGCACATATTTCATTCCGGAATTCTTCTAACAACATCCTACACTTGTGAAAGTACAAAACATCTTTCTGTATCCATCCTTTTCTCTTCTATTTTGACACCCAGATTATAGATGTATTTTATGTTGCCGTGCTCTGATGCCTCTGCAGGTTGGAGTTGGGATTGGCAAGGACTGTGTGAAGGTTTTTAAAGATTATAATGTCTCTGTTCAAGCTGTGGAGGATCTTTCATCTCTAGCAAATCAAAAGCTTGGTGGAGAACCCGGAAATTGGAGTCTTAAAGCTTTAACTGAGATGCTTGTTTCCAAAGAGGTACCTTCACATTTTCCAGTCTACCTACTGAAGGATTACTACACATTCTGCAGTCAATCCTAGATGGCATCTCTTGTGTGTTTGTATATCTTCATGCATCATCTCCCTTTGAAGTTTAAGTTGAGATAACGAAAATCAAAATCTACTTAGGGATATAGGAATAGCAATGGTGAATATGCGCATCGATTGAGAACTTTCCAGTGTTCCTTTGTAACGCACATATGGAGTGTTCAGTTAGGGATATAGGAATTGTGCATTTGCATCAGTGGGGTACTTAACCAGTCTATCCTTGCAGATCTAACATCAAGTTAACCGTTATACTGTGCTTTATACTCTTGTTAGTAAAACTTGCTTCTGGATTTTGTACAATATAGCATCCATACCCAACAAATGAACTGCATTGACGCGAATATAGACAAACTTTGGCGTTGGTAGTTATCCTGTGGACATTGTTAGAACCACCCACAGGGGGAACTTATGTAGATTCTGGACCCTCACTAACAAACATTGCACTCAGAATAAGTTAGGAAATAAGGTTGCGTCAGCATGATGGTTTTCAGACTAATGGTCTCTCTCCCTTGCTTCGCAAGATCCTCCAGCACCTGTGCTTTTGCTTCTGGTTTCCCCCTCTAAACTAATGTTCTCTGCCATCCTGTCTTCGTTCTTCTGCAAATTCGCCCATTTTAGCTCAGCAGTTTATCAAACGAACAGACTACTCCGAGATTCAACTGGAAACCTCTATCCTCCAATGTCATTTTGGGCTGTGGTCTTAAGCACATGCGTCAATAAGGTATTCTAACTAGCTAATGAACTATACTTTGTAGCTTCCGAAACCGAACAAGATCAGACTGGGGAACTGGGAAGTTAAATCTCTATCAAAGTAGCAACAGCAGTATGCAGCTATACCAAGTAAATTGTTACTTTCTACAGAAATCACGCTGCTACTGCATTTCTTATTTACACAGACCCCACACGTTACACAGAACTGTTTCTTCTAATGAATAGGTCTTGAAAGAGCTTTGCCGACACAAAGAATTCTGTAGGTGAAGCCAGTGAGGACGTGAAAGTTGTGCCACCACGAGTTCCTTACCTGCATAGTTTCCTCATCATCATCCTGCAAGGCAAGTCAACGCAAATAACAATCAATTGCTCAACAAACTGACAATTAACTTAGGCCCTAGTCTTTTTCTCGTCCTATGGCAGATAAGGACTATAGACTATATAGCCTAAGATAGTCTGAAACCTCATTGTCTTCTGGTCCATCTAATCAAAGCCTAATGTCCCCACTGATATAATTATTGAATCCAAGTCCTACTTGAACATCAGAATGGGGGGAAAAGTATCCAGAAACATAATTTAGTAATCTCTTAAATGACCCATCTCATCAATGATCTCAAGTATTTTGGATGTACCCTGTAGCTTCGTTTGTATTCTTGTGCTTCAATCTTCTTTCTGTTCCCACTTCACTCAATGACTGGAGGGCCAACTATCTGTACCAACTTGTGCCTGTTTTTTAAGCAGGTAATCGGAATTTTGATTCCGGGGACATTCTTAATTGCAAGTTGCCAGAGCTAAAAAATTCACTCCCTGTACTTGTTTGAGGTGTGGATTTGATCCTAGAGAAACTCTGGCACCACCTACCAATAACAATAGTTACCAATAGGGGTTTCCTCCACACTGAAAAACAGAGTTTTTGTTACAAATCACACCCGTGACACGAACTTTTCATATGACATTTCTAACACGAACTTCTGTGTTTTTGATGTACGGGGAATGCAATTTTGTTAGACAGTTCTCATGGGAGTGGACTAATGACTTTTTTTTCTTCAGGGCACTGAACTCACCGAATTACTATGCAATAGCAAGGCAATATTCTGCTGAGGAAAGGAAATATTCTGCTGATGAGCAGGGTGCGATGGTGCAATGTCATAATCACGATTCATGTACCAAGTGGCGACCTTCCAATATTCCTGGTGGCGGTGTGAGTGCGTAAATGGAATGGAAAGGGGCAGTAGCCAACAGCCCACATGCCCAGCACATGGAAAAGAGGGGCCAGGGCCAGCCAATTTGAAAAGGAAAAGAGGAAGAAAAGAAAGGGGAACCATCAAAGAACCCTCTCTTCTCTTTGCTGTCCCCAACTCCTCTTGTTGGCCATGCAAATGCAACACCAAGAAAGAAAGAAGCAATTCATTCAGCAAATGATTGATTGAGAAATGAGAAATCATTTCCCCACTTTTTCACCCCCTCCACAGTGAAAAAAAGGGTTTTGCAGCAGGAACAAATCTGCTGCAGAACCAAACACAGGTGGGTGAGGATGATTGAGTCCCCATTTCTGCTAGGTTTAAAAAAAGGTGCAGAATGGGGGTAAAGTTACTGTTTTCTTGGAGGTAGTTTGCTTGATGTCTTTTTTTTTTGTCTCTTCTTCTTGTGCTCTGCTATTTCTTTCATTAGCTGATGTATCTGCCTGGTGCAATGATGTCCAGTATTGAAACATGCAAGGTGCAGTCGTAGTACTACTCTTTGTTGTTTGTGGTGGTGACTATATGGGGAAAACACTAGACAAGGGAACAGTCACAGCAAAGATGGAAAAGAGAATTTGGAGCTAGCTCTGTTTTGTATTGGTTGCTTATGACCCAACTCAGAACTGGTACAAACAACTTTAATGTGTAGCAGTTGTTTTTATGGTCATGAAACTCGGTATTTTTACCAGCCAATCCTGAGGAAGTAGGTTGCTGTCCCTGGCACCGACTAACATGCATGTGATGTGAGTCCTCACTATTTGTGAAGCCCTAAAGAAAGGAGAAGTTTTCCCAATATGTATAAGATGCAAAAGAAATTTCTCTAATACAACCGTTGAACTAAAAAATTTCCAAAATACTAGAGTTTGAAAAGGTTCGTCTCACTCTAGAGCAAACTAGGTTGCGGTTCGTGCCAAACAGAAGCGATTTATGTTGTTCGCTTGAAAGATAAATGAACAAAAAGTGGTGCACCGAAAATAAGAGTGATTTTTATTGTTTGTACGGGAGCAACTGATACTAGATGGTATATGATCTATAATTAAATATCAATGACTCGAGTTATTGAGAACAACTAATTCTTGACATGGCATCTGAGCTTGGTCTGATCGAAAGGTCTTCTATTCTAATCCCGATGACTCTCATATGTTCTGTTAAGCACATAGTGTACGGACCTGTGCAAACTTCAAACCTATATGAGCGGTTTTCATTTGAGGGAGTGTGAACGAAGCACATCGAGATTCATGTTCATTATATTCAAGATCTTGTCCGAGATGGCACTGTCAATCTGCATTATATACACACACCGAAGACCAGGTGGCCGATCGGCTCACAAAGATTTTTTCTACTAGTCGACACTGGTATCTTGGTAGCAAGTTGATGCTGATAGACCGATATCAATTTGCGCGAGGCTGTTAGATACTCATATCCGATTGTCCACCCAAGAAATTTTTCATTGAGTTGGGTACCTTACTCTCTCGAAATTACCGACAAACCTCTGTCCAACCTATGACAAAAAGGGGAAGATTCCTCTTATTTTTACCCACTATATATTTATTTTTTAGTATATTTGTCTTACATTTTTTATATTATGATTTATAAAAAAAGAATCATGTGTATGATCCTATAAGACTAATAATCTATTAGTAGTTTAGCCATAATTTATTATTGAAAATCATTATTTGTGCATTTGAACTCTTTATCCACTAATTTGCAACTAGTTATAATTACTTTTTTTTATGGATTATTTCATACAAGATGAGGGCCGAGATGTAAGATCCTAGAATACATATTCATCCTGGTTCATAAGGCACTCATTTCTTGGATGGGCAACCAACCGTATCATCGTTTCCAAAATATTTGGGCAAACGACCTGGTAAGCACTCGACCATATACCTCGTATTTTTCGAAACATTCATCCTGGTTCATAAGACACTCATTTGTTGGATGGGCAACCAACCGTATCTTCGTTTCCAAAATATTTGGGCGAATGACCCGATAATCACTCGACCATATACCTCGTGTTTTCTGAACCATGATTGTGCGAATCATGGTACTAAGTTTGCCTGTCTACTCGACGATGAATCTAGTTCGGTTCTCTTTCCAACGAACAACGTAGGTCACTTCTGTCCGATGCGAACCGCACCAATTGTTCGCTTCAGCGTCAAACATACCACTCCAAACTCTAATATTTTGAGAAATACAAGCGTAAATGTTATATTTTGTGAGCTGTTATTTGTAAGTGGGGCCTTTTTTGACCAAGAAAAGAAGACCTAGAACTAGAGGCCAGGTTTACAATTTGGTGAGGGAGGAAGG